TTGGGCTTTGGTCCTGAATTTATTCTCTCTTACTGCTATGTCACATGCAGCAAGTTACTGCTTTGCCTCAATTGTCTCATCTGTAAAACAGAGATGATAATAATAAGTGCTTAATAAATGTCATTGTGAAAATATTGAGGATAATATTTCTGTCATCATCTTCAGGAAAAATTACAAGATATCCAACACGTGAGTATGGATGTGTGTGTGTGTGTTCATATAAGTGTATACACACACACACACACACACACACACACACACACACGGTTATTTTAGTTAGATTTTTAAAGTCCCTTAAGACTTGTGAAAACCAAAACAACTATTTTGATTAATTGCCTAATTTTATGCATTTTAGTTTTTAAAACTTACTATCTTGACTTCTCCAGGGATAATGTATTGAGTGGGGCTGAGGGGATGGGATCTTGTGCATAAGTGTGGGCCTTAGTTAGAAGCATGAACAACAGGAAGACATCCTTAGCCCAGGGGAGAGTAGCATCTGTGGGCACAGACACAGGTAAGGAGGTCTGTATAATGAAGAGGTTGTGGTCATTCTTCCCCTACTGCTTCAAGGACATTGCTCCAAAAATTCTCCCCTTGCTCTTCCCTAACATGAATTTTCTATTCAAGTAGGTAATTTCTATTAGCATGAAAATATGCAGCTATTTTCTCTCATCTCAAATAAATAGAACCCTTTCTTGATCCAACTCCTTACCTAATTTCTCTCCTTCCCTTTCCTTGAAAGAGCAGTTTCTCTTTTGTTTTCTGCATATTTTCTGTTTCTCCTTTTTCTCGGTGCTTTCACTCTGACTTTTCCACTGAAATTTCTCATTGCCAGYTCACCCAGAACTCTCCACATTGTGAAATGCAATCATTAATTTTCAGTTTTCATCTTATTCCATCAGGAGTATTTGGTACAGTGTATTACTCCTTTCTCCTGAATCACTGCTCCAGGCACCGTACACTCTAGATTTTTCTTCCTGGCTCCCCAATGATAGATGGCTCCTTCTCAGTGATATAATCTCATCCAGATAAACATATCTCAGATCTCTTCTCAAATTCCAGACTCTTCTACCCCACATCTCCACTGGGACACTTCAAAGATAACAAGTCTACACTGAGTCCCACTCTTTTCCACATCCCTGGCAACTCCTTTCTTCCGATTGCTTGGTGAATACTGCGTGGCTCTTATACTTCTTTCTCAATCCACCTGCAATTCCCATCAACTCCACTTTGTACCCTTCTCTACTACATGCTTGACCTCCTTCATCTCTTTTTTGCAATTTTGCAACCAATCTCCTGGTGCCTTTGCTTCTGCCCTTGCTACCTCTCCCCCTCCCACGGTCTGATCTTACCAGGTAGCTAGAGTAACTATAATAAAACAGAAATCAGATCTTCTCATACTTGGGCTCAAAACTTTCCAACAGCTCCCCAAGTCCCTTAGAGAAAAACTAGATTACCCTATTAACTATTAAGGTCCCCAGGGTCAGCTGGCTACTATTGCCTTGCTGCTATAAATTCTCAATATAAGAATAAGAACTCGATTTAAATGGAAGTGCGTCCAGTGGTTCCTAAATCTTAACACAATGTAAACCTCTTACAAATGATATTCTCTTCACTGTCTTATGGACCTACCTGGCATCTTCCTGTCTCAGGACCCACCCCGCCCCTCTCTGAAGAGAGGCACACTTTTGCCAGATTTTATAAAATTGCAAGGTCCTCTCAATGCCTCCTGCTTTCCTTTCTTACTTTGTGCTTTATGTTCCAACAAGGCAAGGATTTTTGTCTTTTTTATTCATGGCTAAGTTCCTAGTGCTCAGAGCAATGCCTGGCAGAGTGGGTGTGTGATAAATATTTGTTGAATGAATTAGCTATTATCCAGATGGTATGATTTATATAATTGTAGTTGTTTTATAATGGCTATAATGATAGGGTCTTTTCTCATGTTCCACATGATTCCAAAGGAGGTGGGGATCTGTTCCATTAGTACACCCTCTTCTCACTCATCTCAAATAATTCAAAAGTCATCCATGATTTGACTGACTACAGAAAGAAAAATATAAACCTCTTACAAATGATAACAACTTCAGAATAGGGTACCAAAGGATTGAGAGTAGACATAGAATTTAAAATGGGGAAAATGCAAAATGTGAGTTAATAAATGTGAWCTCTTGAAAAAGGGAATCCCTTTAAATAGAAAGACTAGGAAACGAATCACTTGGACTTAATGATGTTTTATTTAGCAATTTTGCTATGAATTGCTTTCTCTGGGCTAATATGAAATTTGAGTTATAGAATATTAAAGACCCAGGGTACCAAGGTAAGCACATACTTGCTGACTAATCAGGCTGGAACAAAGGTTTTAAGGAAGATTAAGTTTGATTGTGTCCTTACTTTTACATGAATAAAAGATTCTCCTAATTGTGCTTCTCAAAATTCAATGTTAAAAGAAATAAGAACTTTCTTGTGTTAAAATGAACTATACAACCTGTCTCTATTCATTCAAAAACATAAAGCTCAGTGTGTTAAACATGTTTTCCATAACTGTTGGACGTTATGACACACAGCTAATGAAGAAGTCACCAGTAATTCATAAAATGTACTTAGTGTCAATCATAGTTTCATAGAATGCTCACTGGGCTCTCTCTCTTTTTTTTTTCCTTCGCAACCTTGAACTAAGGTTTATGTTTTGTGTCTTATAAAAGGTCGGAGTAATTTCTGGAAGTTGAAATAGTCATTAGAATTGCTGTCTCTGTGCTGCAGCTGTTTATGAAGAACTCGATTTAAATGAAAGTGCTTCCAGTGGTTTCTAAATCTTAACACAATGTAAACACAGAGTTGTTTATTGTTCCACCAAGGGACATTTTAATTATTTGTGGCAGAGAAGAATTAATTTACCTATAATTTCCTGCTGCTTCCTAAGCAAGACAACCTGTGAAGGTCCCTTTTGCTGAGCTGGCAGAGGCCATGAAGATGCAAAGCAGAGCTGGGAGTCTGAGATAGAGACAAAATGGGCTGCTTATGTGAAGGCTGTGGGTGTGAGGGCAAGACTGGAGCCAGGCAGTGGAAAGGCTGCGTAGGAAAAATGTTCCAGAAAACGGAAGTTGTATCTGTTGTTGGTGTGTAGAGGACTGCAGGGAAAAGCAGAAATGGAGAAGTAGCTGCTCAGAGAAGAAATCAGGGAGGAAAGGAGAGATGCTCAAACAATTGTTTTTGAAGTTTTGCTGTTTTTCCAATTGCTATTTTTTTCTAATGCACATTAAAATAAATAGCTAGCTATTAAAATTCAAAAACCAAAATGATACTAGCATCCCACCTGCCACGCCACTGTCAACTCTGCACTGGGTAGCACAACCGCACGACAGGCAGAACTCTCCTCCGCAGCCTCCTGCTGCAATTCTGGTGGCTGGACAGATGATGTCTCGGGATACACAACAGGAGACTTKTAAGCTTTTCAGTAATATATATTATTTAGAAAAGTAATAGGGTTTTTTTTGAGTTTAATGAATAAGTCAGGAGAATGACATTGAAAAGATCTATACAGAAGAAACCCTAGGAAGAGAGAGGTTAGTTATGAAGCTTGAAATAAAAAATCTCTCATTAATCGAACAAAGCTATCTATTATGATGAGAATCAGAATTGTGACAAAGTCAGAATGGACTTTGATTATTTCACATCATGCAGATGTTCAGATCTTTCATTTCTTCATGAAAGAATTCTGCCACTAAGGAGTAAGAAAAAATAATAATGGGAAAGATTTTTAAGAATAAATACCTTGATGTGCTATTAATGTTAAGAGAGTATATAATTGTCTCAATAAGAACTTAAAGACCAAGATTTATCAATGATATGCTCAACTGGCATAGGAAAGATTTTCTGGAATCCCACAAAGCTAGGAAAAAAACAAGACATTTAATACTGTCTATGCTCTAAGGGAACCTCAAGTTGAGACGGTCCGCTGAGCAAGTTGAAATTAGAGAAAGAACCTGTTCACTTAAGATGACACTCTACCCATGGTTTTTCCAGTTCTCTTCTTGGAAGTATTCCAGAAAAATACTGTTTCTGTCTTATAAATGTTCAAGGGTTGAGGTCAGTCTAACAGATCTGGAAAAATATCATTTATTTAAAGTCTCCCAAGATCAGCATAATTTATGTGGGCAAAATGTGCCTCTAATTTGGTGCTTCAATACAACCTGCAGATTGCATGAACTGCAGTTGCCCTTCACACCAGAAAAAACCCTAATGTCTGACTTCAAAGAAGCCATTTTTATTTGTCAATATGTTTTCCTTATTGATTAAGAAAAGCTAATAGAAGCTTTGCACAGTATTTAGGGAAAATTTGAGATGGATTAACAAGGCCAGGTTCTACAAATATGCACAGTATTTCTGGATACACAATAAGCCCATTGAGAATTATCACTGGAGGCCCTGACTGGGCCTCTTGTTTGCTTAGTTCTTCCTTAATACTCCCCATGCAGAGAAGACAGGGAAGGGAGAGAACAAATTGCTGGTAAAGTAACTCTTGAGTTTGTGAACATGATAACAACAAACTGAATGTCTCTTGAAACTAGAATCATTCTGTAAATTCCAGCTGTTTGGGGCCAAATCATCCAGTCTCTTCTTGTGTGCAAGGGTACCTGAGCCAATGGTGTTTCCTGAAATATAAAAATGGCTTCCAGAAGGGATGACAGCATTTCATCCTCCATTTACATCTCCAGAGAAACAGCAAATATAGAAAGTGAAGTACATTATCACACTTTGAAATAATCCATTTAATTGGAACAGGATATTTTCATCATCATGGAATCATTTGGCATTACAATGCCCTCCATGGCAAAATACAATGCAAATGTCTAATTGCTGGAACATTCCCCAAATAGTGAAGATTGACAAACTCTGACCAAACAAATGTTCTGTTAACATAATGACTAATTGCCCATTTTTAAAATCAACTTGATACGAATAGACGTATATATTTTTCTCATCCAAGAAAAGCTATTTACCTCTTTCTCCATTTGTAATCCTTCTGCTCTAATATTTCTTTCAAATACTTCTCTCTTTTCAGTCTGGGGATTGGATTTTCTGTACACAAGAATGTAGTCAATTCGACACTTTCCATCTCTAAAGTAAAGTCCATTTGATTTGTTTCTTTCTGGCACTGTCTGGATACAAAGAGAAAGGGACCAGTTTTAGCCATTCATAAATTTGAGCTTCAGGTGGGTAATTTAAAGAAAAATTAAAGCTAAATGGATTTTGTTCTTTGTATTTTATTAAAATTTCATTCTCTAATAAAAAATTTAAACAAGAAGAAACAAATAAAATTRAAATGGGGAAAACACAAGACATCTAAAACTACCAAACTCTGGAAAGGATGTGAAGCAACTGAGAATTCTCATATTTTGCAGGTGAGAGTGGAAATTGATATACTAACATTGGAAAACACACTAGCATTATCTGGCAAAACTGAACATTTGCAGTACATACAAAATTCTTGTTAAGGCAACGAAGAGATGTGTATATGAATATTCACAGCAACATTGTTCTTAATATAAAATTTTAAAAAGTTGGAAATCAACCCAGATGTCTATGGAAACACAATAAATGGATAAATAAATTGTACAAAGGGCATACAGTGAAATACTACAGAGCCACGAAAATAAATGAGTCTTGCATCTACCAACAATAGGAAAAAAACGAATCTTAAAAACAACTGACAGGAAAAATAGWAAGTTCTAAGATTTCATACCATGTTTTATAAAACACAAAATTTTTTAAAAATCTAAAAGTAAGTTGCTAAAACCACATATGTATGTGATAAAATTATTTTTACAGCAAAAAGGATATAAAGTACAAAATTCAGGAAGATGGTACTTCTCTGGTAGGGTAGAGACATGGGATTGCAAGTAGTTTCAATGGCTTTAGCAATATTCTAGTCCCATGTTTCTCAATTTTTTTTTCTCCACAATAAGAAAAACAGTTTACTGTATTATCTTTGGATATCTATGTAAACACATATATAAAAGTATTTGAGACCAAAGTTTCACACAATAACATTTCTCTTTGCTACTTACAGACATGCTACTATAAATTTCCCATTGCATTAAAAAACAATCATTGGAGTTAGTAATCTATGATGAGGTTGTCACCAGGATTTGAAAAAATACCTTTCAACTTCATAAATTGGAAAATGGTTCAGGGTGTTCATTTTATTATGATGCTGCTCTGCATAACTTACACTGAAGTTACAAATGTTATTTTGCAGTAATCAAATACTATAGATATTAAAAAAGTAAARCATTAAAGGAATGGGTTGAATTTTCATCCAGGCCCTTTCAGCTTGTARTATTGACCCTAAAAGAGAATATCATATATGAGCTGGTCAGGCTAGAGCAGGGTGTGGCAGGCTAACAGATTTCAAAATTGTATTTATATACCTGGCCAAGTGAGAGTGGGGAATCCATCTTTTCTAGGCCACAGAATATATTAGTTTCAAATAGTAACATGAAGAAGGCAAACATGTTAGACCTCCAAAGCTAGAAACCACATTCTTGTAGAAGCATCATACATGCAACCTCACCAGAAGAAAGCTCTGAGCCAGGGGAACAGAATTGCCCAGGCATAATGTCTCAACAGATGTTTTCAAACAGTGTCCAATCCTCACTCACCACCCTTTGGCTTTTGTCTTATGATGCCCTCAGGAATCTACCTGAATAAACACTTCATTCACAATGATTTGCCAAGCAAGGAAAGTATCCTGTGGATTTAGCACATCAGCAGCTGCTTTCCAAAACAGGGCTTTGGGCTGGGAGGAGATCTCAGTGGTAGAGTGTCTGCCTAGCTTATGTGAGGCCCTTGGTTCTATTCCCAGCACAGAAATAGTAATAGTAATAATATAGCAATAAAAATAAAATAAATATCTACAGTCATGAGTAAGTATCGGGAGGAGGGTTGCCCTGAGCAGAATGACAACTTGTGTTCCTTCAGCAAAGCTCTGATCTTTCTGAGACTGTTTCCTCCTTTGTAAGTTAAGGGGATGAGACTAGTTGCTTCCTGAGATCCATTTCCCTGCCCCTTCACTATGCCACCTTATGGTATCCAAAGTATCTGTGTGAAGAGCTGATGACAGAAGGAATTTTTTTTCTTTTTTTAAAAAAGAAAGAAAAGACATGGATAGTAGTTTAAGGAACTTATGGGGAGAGGTCTGCAAAGCTTGGTAGAAGTTAACAGTTTCCCCTGCCTAGGCATCGTTCTGTCCATCATTACATGTCTCTGGAATAACAAAACCTTAGCAATGGGCAATAAGTAAATTATTCTGATTCTGCGTACTTATCACCTCTAATTATGGTGCATGTACAAAGGAAATATTCAACTYCACCAAGACATAATCTGAGAAATAGTGAGTGCCTCTAACACAATACTTTTCCCAAAATGACACACTAATAACAGATACGTCTATTTTCGGCTGCAATGTTTCCAGATTACAGAAGCCAACAGAAACTCAAAGAGGCTCCAGCTCCAGACAACACCATCTATGGAGAGCTGGTGCATTTTATGCCACTATTCTATGTGCTGGGGGATTTATACTTTTTACCACTTATGGCACCAGAAATATAGATCTTAAACCAGTAGACAGTTTTAAGAATCATCCTTTGTATACATGAGATGCTTCTAGGTTTAAGAAAGTAAGTGTATGATCCATTCGAAGTTTGTTTTGAGCAMAGGTAGATTTAGGATTCCTAAAATGTGCTAGACCCATGGGGGACATCAAAGAAAGATAAACCCTTGTTTTCCAGAAACCTAGAGTTTGATGGGACTACGACTTTAACGGTCCATTGGAACATACTTCACATTTTTTTTTTTAAAGAAATCATACACTCTTACCTCTCCCCCTGTTTCTAATCTGCTGGCATCATCTGAAGTACTGGTCAGGTTTCCGGGGTGAAGGAGGGAATCATCATCTTTGCAAGGACTATTGACAGCTTCTAATTCATCAAAAAGAATATTGACATCCTTGGCCACTAGAACCAAAGTAAATACATTAAAAGCGGGTTTAAGAATCTGGGATCTTGAAAGCAACACTGAAAGAGAAGATATTTCCCTGTGACTTCGTATGTTCTTGTTATTTCAATCACACCTTCAGTGACGGGTCTGTCACTTCCTAAGAGAAAAGATGTCAGATGTAAAACATAGTTGACCAGACAGTGACAGTGCATTCATTAGGCAAGATTAAGGAAACTGTGAGGCGAGGTGAAGTATGTCCATACTATAAATACAATTTCATGGTAACGGGAGGCATTTGTTTGGTTTTCCTTCACGTAGTGGTTTAGCATAACGTACTTTCATTCARGACTTCTGAGAACTCATTCTCTGAGTTGGAGATGACCTATACTTTTATATTCTGCTTTTTTTCTTTCTCATTTAAGTGCTGTGCGGCTTATGAAGTAAATCCCATAAAAGTGTTACTGAATGGCTTAGTGATTTCTTTTTTTGTTCCTTTATTACTTCCATAAGGTCAGATAAAGAACTCCTAATGTAATCATGAAGCCTGTAGTTAGGTTTTCTGCTTTCCTTCTTCCTCTAATGCTGAACTGAAATAATGAAGTGAGCCAAGGCTCTCTGGAATGCCAAGGCTCTCCCCAGAGACTGTTGATGTTAATAACACAGTGACAAATAAAAAGCTGTATGTCAGAGTTCTCGGTACAGACTGCTTTCAAATCGACCATGCCTGTGGCACTCCAGAAAACAAAGAGCAGCACCAGTAGGAGGAGGAGAGAAAGGGATGCCAGGTGAGGGTCCCTCCTTTATCGACTCAAATTATGGCCAACATTGCAGCTGACTTTTTCTTTTGATGCTTTAAAAATGACCAAGGGCTTGTAACTTGTCAGAAGCTGCTGCACAAAAGAATTCATGGGAGATTGACTACTTCTTACCCAAGCACATAACCGATCATTCATTCTTTCATTCGAAAACATTTTAGGAATGTAGACATTGTTTGTCAGGCACAGAGTACATGATAGCAAAACTTCGGTAGATAAAAGTCGTGTGGCTTTCTGCATTTCTGTTTTAAGGTAAACAAACCAAAGAAATGTAAATTGTGAATGCTCTCATGGAAAGACAAAGCTTGGATATAGAGAATAGAGATACTTAAAGGGTGACCAGGTTCCCAATCACCAAATGTGATTAGGCAATTCATTTAACTTTAAGTTTTTCATCTGTAAAATAAAATGCACAGATGTAGAATAGAATTTACTTTTATCGCTTACTATGATAGGCTGAATCACATCCCTCAAAGGTGATCTAATCCCTGGAACCTGTGAATATATTATCTTACATCACTATGGGTTTGTTGATGTGATTAAGCCAAAGATCTTAAAATGGAGACATTATCCTGGATTACATGGGCAAGTCTAGTGTAATTATAAGAGTCTTTAGAAGCAGGAGCTAGGATGGTAAGAATCARAGAGACAGACTGGAAATGTTYTGCTGCTGGCTTTGAAGATGGAGGACAGGGCCATGARCCAAGGAATGCAGGTGGCCTTTAGAAGACAGAAAAGGCATGAAAGCAGATTTTTCCCTAGAGCCTCTAGGAGGAGAAACACAGTCTTACTAACACTTTGGATTTTGGACTTCTGACCTCTTAAGCACTACGATAACAAATATGTGCTATTCGAAGCCACTACATTTGTAGTAATTTAGTGCGGCAGTAAATCAATACACTTACTATAGGTTTTTAAACCATGAAGCTACAGAGAAGAAAACATCATGGTATTTCCATAGAGCCATGGCTTAGGAGCACCTACACTGTGCCAGGTGCTCAAGGAGAGGAGCCAACACTTTTTGAGGCAATATAACATGCACAATGCTTTTTAGATATAGCAAGACCAAAGACAGCTTTCCTGAGCACCCTAATGTAATGAAGCCCCCTAATTTTTCTCCTCCGTTTATCTCCTTCCCAGCACTGAATACCACTTGTAACTCCCTTGTTATTTGTCTATTTACTTTTTACTGTTTATTTGTCTATTTACTTTTTATTGCTTATTTATCTTATTAGGATGCAAGTTCCATAGGGCAGGGGCCTTCACTTTCCTGACTGATCTACAGAGACTCTGGCACAAAGTAAGCTCTTGACACACATTTGTTGAATGATGGAATGGGGATAAGCGATCCATTATTGGGTAGAGGGAAGTGATGCTAGTGATATTCAGTGGGAAGAGGTCAGGGAGGCTGCTAAACATCCTATGATACACAGGATGTCCAAYGACAAAGAGTTATCCAGCCCAAAAGGTCAATATAGTAATTGGCTCTTACTTGCAGTTTCCCTTTCTATAGTTTCTAGATTAGCTGTGGTCAACCAGTGGTCACAGTCKAGCGATGTCTGAGAGTCCCTTCCCTTTAACAGCCCTAGGACTCTGAATATATATATATATATTTCCTAACATGATTCTCATGCACAAACCAGGACTGTGTAATTTCAAGTAGACAGTGATTGAATTTCAAGGAGATAATGATTAGATTTGAACAACAGATAAAAATATAGTTTTAACAAAGTCAGACAACCTGCTTGCTATTCCAAACTCTGCCACTTAGCCATGTGAATTCGCACTTCTAGTTCCTTACTGATGAGACAGGGACACTTTGGATCTTAAATAGCCTCCAAAGGACTATGTGTTAAAGACTTAGTGTCCAGTTGGGCACTAGTGGGAGGTGGTGAAGACTTGGAGAGATGGGGCCAAGAAGGAGGTCATCTGGTCATTAGGGCATGTCTTTGAAGTGTGTAAGCAGACTCCAGCCCCTTCATTCCCCTCTCTTTTTCTCACCCAAGCCAGGAGGAGAGAGTGCCCCACACTTTTTCCTATGCTGTCTACCTTAGTACAGGACCAAACACAGTGGGGACTGAACATAAACTGAAGCCTCCAAAAATGTGAGCAAAATGAAACATCTCTCTGTGTAAGCTGATTATCTCAGGTCTTTGGTAGAGGAACAGAGAGCTAACCTGGAGAACTGGCTCTGAGAAGTGGAGCCGTGGCTGTGACTACACCGGATGATGTGGAAAAACCTTTGCAATTGGTTTGCAGGAGGGGTGTGGAAAAATTTGGAGAATCAAGCTCGAAAAAGACTAGCAAGCTATATGTGAAGTTTAATGCACCATCCTGCTGAAGACTCATATGACTAGACTGCTAATAGGAATGCAAATGGTAAAGGCTATGCTGATGAGGTTTCACATGGAAACCAGAAGTCTACTGGGAATTAAACTAAAGGCAAACCAGCTTACACAATGAGGAATTAGATACATTATGCTCAAGCCCCAAGACTTTATAGGATGCTGAACTTAAAGGCAATGGACAAGTTTATCTGGTAAAGAAAATTTCAAGGCAGCAAAATACTCATGCAGTGGACTGGACATTRCTGGCTACTTTTAACCAAATTTACAATGAGAATCCACAGCAAAATAGAACAGAGTGGAAAGATTTGTGTAAAGGTGCAAGGAGGATGCAATTGCTAAAGAGATTAATAATGTTTTAACATAGCTAGATACTTTGCACACAGACATTAGGACAGATGCCTGGAAGAAATCTCAGAAATTATGTAGACTCCATCTCTTGAAGGGTGGAATGTAAAAACTGTTTCAAAGAACTTCTATGGAAGTCTTTTGTGAAGGGAGCTTTGGGATACTGCTAGTCAAGGATTGCCTAAGCTGGCAAAGCATGCAAAGGCCCCTGAAGCTGTAGCTCAAGTAGGCTGGGGTGCAACTAACATTGGCAGAAGCTACCTTGACATCAACCAAATGGTGCTGTCAGAAAGTCTTTTACCAAGATTTCAATAAAAAGCCTGGGAGGCTTGTGAGTGTATTGCAGATTRGAGATCCTGCAAGAATCCATTATTGGGTAGAGACAAGTGATACTAGTGGTATTTAGTAGGAAGAGGTCAGGGAGGCTGCTAAACATTCTATGATACACAGGATGTCCTACAACAAAGAGTTATCCAGCCCAAAGGGTCAATATAGTAACTGGCCCTTATTTGCAGTTTCACTTTCTGTAGTTTCTAAATTAGCTGTAGTCAACCATGATCCAAAAAWATTAAATAAAAATAAATGACTCATAAATTTTATATGTTCACTATTCTATATAGCATGATGAAATCTCATGCTATTCTTCTCCACTCTGCCCAAGACATGAATCAACCTTTTGTCCGGTGTGTCCATTCTTTATATGCTACCTACCTGTGTCAGTCACTTAGTATTCATCTTGGTTATCAATATAGTATATAGGCCTTGTTACTGACCATGGTTTCAGGCATTCATCTGTGTCTTGGACTATCTCCTGTGGATAATGGGGAATGACTATTAAGATTAAGAAATCTTACTCTACTATTTAATTCTAAAGGGAACAATGAATGGGAAAGAGAAAGAAGCCCTTGTAATGAACTATATTACCTCTCTTACACTTTTGTTCTCAAATAGAAAAATGTTTGATGATTATTTGCTTAGTAGAATTCTGCTATTAGGCTCATTAAATGAGAAAGAGAGCCAAATGCTCTGGGGAGTCAATTAAGAGCAAGAGGGAGAGAGAATATAAAAATTCCATGTAATCCAAGTAAGGAATCTATATTGCATTCATTCAGGAAAGGCTATGTGAACAAAGCTGGGCCAGCAAAGATGGGTCAGGCTAGGTAAATACCATGCATTTGAGGACTGTTATGATTTAGATGTGAGATGTCCGCCCAAAACTCATGTGTGAGACAATGCAAGTACATTCAGAGATCAAATGATTGGATTATGAGAACCTTAACCTAATTAGTTCATTAATCCACTTGAATGAATTAACTGGGTGGTAACTGTAGGTATGTAAGTTGTTGCTGGAGGAGGTAAATCAACAGGAGCCTGCCTTAGGGATATCTATATCTATCTACCTATCTATCTACACACACACACACACACACACACACACACACACACACACACTGAGCTGAGCTTAGTCTCTATTTCAGATTGTCATGTCCTAAGCTGATTTTCTTCACC